ACAGGTCACAGGTTCGAATCCAGGGAGAGGCGGATGAGCTCCCTCTATCAGCTCCAGCTCCTCATGCGGGGACATGAGAGAAGCCTCCCACAAGGATGATAAAAACATCAATTCATCCAGGCGTCCCCTGGGCAATGTCCTTGCAGATGGCCAATTCTCTCACACCAGAAGCGACTTGCAGTTTCTCAAGTCGCTCCGGACACAACAACAAAAAAACCCCACTCTTGTGGTGTTTGTTTTGCTGTCTGTGCCCCTGTTCAGAAGATTTCACCTCACTTTTTGTCCATGTGAAAATTGGATTTTGGAAAATTTGGCTTGTTGTGGAAACAAGGACTAGTGATAAAGCTTCAGTGGAGACACCTTTTCCCCATGATAATAACTCTTCTAGGAGTGGATTTCCTTTCCGAGAGGCATATTTCTCTCACTTCCTGTTGTCCCATCCCCATTCTTAAGTATGAGTTGTATGTGAGTCAGATGTTTGTAATGCATGGAGTGCCTATATTCCCTTTCAAATGACCTGCCAGCAATTTAAAACCAGACTACAGAATTAAAATAACCAGGAACAGCAGGTTTCCTGAACTATGGGTACATCTACATTGTGGAATTAATGCAATTTGACACAATTTAATTGCAATGGCTCAATGCTAGATAATCAGGGGAGTTGTCGTTTGACAAGCTGTTTAGCCTTTTCTGCCAGAGTGCTGGGACCTCACCAAACTGCAAGTCCCAGGATTCTATAGCCTTGAGACATGGCAGTTAAAGTGGTGTCAAATAGCATTCATCCTAAAGTGCAGATGCACCCTTATCTGCTGGATCTCAGGAGAGACAATTCTTAGGGCTTTTATTGTTTTGTGCCCCCAAAGAAGCTGGCTAGCATTGGACATTTATGCACCTTGAATGGAATGGAAGAGAACTGTAAAAGTAAAGATTTTCCCCTGACATTACGTCCAGTCGTGTCTGACGCTGTGGGTTGGTGCTCATCCCCATTTCTAAGCCGAAGAGCTGGCACTGTCCATAGACACCTCCAAGGTTACGTGGCAGCCATCACTGCATAGAGCAACATTACCTTCCCGCCAGAGTGGTACCTATTGATCTACTTACATTTGCATGTTTTCAAACTGCTAGGTTGGCAGAAGCTGGGGCTAACAACAGGAACTCACACCGTTCCACAGATTCAAATCTGCGACCTTTCGGTAAGCAAGTTCAGTAACTCAAGAGGCTCCATGAAAGAGAAGAGAAGTTGCCATCTCCTGTTCTTCCCATGCATCAAAACGCCTTGGAAACTGAGTCCCTTAACGTTGCATTCCTGGTCCCCCAACCCATATGTTTGGGGTTGAAGAGAAGTACACCATGATAGACTGGAAAGCAGAATGCACTTTGCTTGAACTCAGAGGTGCCCTGTCCTTGCATTGGGAGGAGTAGCCCAGCGTAACACAGAAAAGCATGCACTGCATGGAAAAATAATCCCACTTTCGAAGGTTTCAGCAGTTGTATGAAAGAGTTTCTGAGGCTTTGGAGAATTATTGTCCACCACAGATCTAAAGTAGTCAAATTTCTTAATATCTGTCCTCCATGTCCTAGTAATTCATACCTAAATAATATGAATAATATCGATCCTGATTCTAATTTCTTCCTCTGCATCTACACTGCGTTGAAACTTCATTATGTGGTCAGTGTAGACTCATATAATGCAATTCAACGCAGTTAAACAAAGTGCAGCTCTCTATTCTGCCTCTAAATACAAGTTTTGGTTTTTCCACTATTAGTTTTTTCCTCATTTCCTGAAGTGTTCCTTCTTTTGATGTGTACAATAAAATATATTTAGAAATCCACTTCCTCCCTGTCTCAAAGCAAGCTTGGAATATGGGAAATGGGTGCGGTTCCTACATGCTCAGAGGTCCTCTCATTCATTGCTTCGTGTTACCGCCGGGGTGACAAAATGAAACACCTAGCAAATCTATAGCTGTGATAACAACACACAAAGGCTAACACGTTGACTGCTGGTAGTTACCCCTAAAATAAATAGAGGGAACAAAATGAACATGGAAATAAGGAAGAAAGGGTGATTTGTGTGTCATTTTTAAATACTAATCCATTCATTTTGGCAGGAATTTTGTGGATTACAATCCATTTCTCCAGATGCAACAGTAGAGTACAGTATTGAAGCCTCAGGCATGTAGATGCACAATTAATAAATATATTGTCAAAGGCTTTCATGGCCAGAATCACTGGGTTGTTGTAAGTTTTTTGGGTTGTATGGCCATGTCCTAGAAGCATTCTCTCCTGACGTTTTGCCTGCATCTATGGCAGGAATCCTCAAAGGTTGTGAGGTTTTAATCAGTAATCCAGAGGCTCCATGAAAGAGAAGAGAAGTTGCCATCTCCTGTTATTCCCATGCAGCAAAACGCCTTGGGAACTGAGCCCCTTAACGTTGCATTCCTGGTCCCCCAACCCATATGTTTGGGGTTGAAGAGAAGTACATCATGATAGACTGGAAAGCAGAATGCACTTTGCTTGAACTCAGAGGTGCCCTGTCCTTGCATTGGGAGAAGTAGCTCAGTGTACTATGTGGCAGGAATCCTCAAAGGTTGTGAGGTTGTGATCTACTATAGATGCAGGCAAAACATCAGAAGAGAATGCTTCTAGGGCATGGCCCTACAACCCAAAAAACCTACAACAACCCAGTTAATAAATATGCTAAAGCAATATTTCTCAACCTTCCTAATTCTCCAACCCATTAATACAGTTCCTCATGTTGTGGTGACCCTCAACTATAACATTATTTTCGTTGCTACTTCATAACTGTAATTTTGCTCCTTTTATGAATGGTAATGTAAATATGCAGGATGTATTTTCATTCACTGGACAAAAATTGGCACAAAGATCCGATATGCCCAAATTGGAATACTGGTGATGTTGCGGGGGGGGGGGGGGGGGGGGGGGGGGGGGGGGGGGGGGGGATTGATTCTGTCATTTGGGAGTTGTAGTTGCTGGGATTTATAGTTCACCTATAAATTGAGGCGCTCTTGGGGGAAAATAGACCTTGACATTGTAGTTACTGGGATGTATAGTTCGCCTACAATCAAAGAACATTCTGAATTCCAACAATGATGGAATTGAACCAAATTTGGCACACAGAACAGAAAATATTGCAAGGGTTTGATGGGCATTGATATTAAGTTTTGGAGTTATAGTTCACCTACATCCAGAGAGCGCTGTGGACTCAAACAATGATGGATCTGGATCAAACTTGGCATGAATACTCAACATGCCCAAATGTGAACACTGGTGGAGTTTGGGGAAAATAGACCTTGACATTTGGGAGTTGTAGTTGCTGGGATTTATAGTTCACCTACAATCAAAGAGCATTCTGAACCCACCAAACCCCATGACCAACAGAAAATACTGTTTTCTGATGGTCTTTGGGAACCTCTCTGACACCCCCCTCATGCCCCCCCCCCCCCCCCCCCCCCCCCCGGGGTCCTGACACCCAGGTTAGGAAACGCTGCTCTAAAGACACCAGATCCCATCTGATCTTTTGTATATTTGATATGTATTTTGTGGATGTATGTTTTAATATGCATATTTTACAGAGTGTTTGTTTATGTTTAGTAATGCTGTAATCCACCTCCAGCCATGAGGGCAAATAATAAAACTATATTATTATTATTATTATTATTATTATTATTATTATTATTATTATTGAAGCTAAGCAGGATCAAACCTGGTTAGTGTTTGAATGAGAGACCACCAACAAGTAGCAGGTGCTGTATGTTCCATTTCAGAAGGGGCAATTGGCCAAACTGAGTATTTCTTGCCTAAGAAATCCCCATGAAATTCATAGGGTCAATATATATTGAGAGGTGACTTGAAGGCATATAAATACATACAGAGGGGAGAGAAGAGGGTGGGATCAGAGTTAGAGAAGATTTAAAAAAAAGCCACTTTTGGATCTGGGTACCTGAGATAAAAGCAGGGTATAAGAAAATATACTAATCCTCAACATTATCATCATTTCAGTGCCAGTCAAAACTCTTAAAAATACTGGCATTGCCTAAACATCTGGGAACTAATACAGAGGTTAGCAAAGCTAAGAAGTTGTTGAAGGCTTTCATGGCCGGAATCACTGGGTTGCTGTGAGTTTTCCGGACTCTATGGCCATGTTCCAGAAGCATTCCCTCCTGACATTTCACCCACATCTACGGCAGGCATCCTCAGAGGTTGTGAAGTCTGTTGGAAACCAGGTAAGTGAGGTTTATATATGTCCAGAGCGGGAGAAAGACCTCTTGCATGCTTGAGGCAAGTGTGAATGTTGCAGTTGACCACCTTGATTAGCACTGAATAGCCTCTGCAATATCACCTTCCAACAAAGGATTCCCCAGGCAGGAAGCAGCCAGACTTTGAAGCTGCAAGGACATTCAATACTAATGGTCGAACAGCCTGAAAAACTTATAGCAAACCAAAACTAAGAAGTATTAAAACAAAGGATAGTAGACTCTCTGTTAACTGGAACTCAAACAACAGGCAAAATTAAGTAAAACTTCATATTGCGTTCTCAAAGCTTTTTTTATAATTCAGTGTTATGATAAGTTACATTTTCTTTCTTTGTCTTAACTTGCTTATAATTACCATATTTCAATATTAAGATCAAGTCAATAGAGTTTATGGTATGATATAGAATGGATATATAGTATTAGTTCAGCCTACTTGTAATAGTAACTCATAAGCAATCAGAAACTACATTTATCTGGCATCTACCATTGGAGGCTGATTAAGTAAGAGTCTACACTATCATCATCAACAACATCATCCTCTCAATGTAGATCTTAAATCTTTGAAAGGCTGGTTTTGTCTAAACATCTGGGAACTAATACAGAGGTTGGCTAAGCTAAGAAGTATTCAAGCAAAGTATTTTGCTTTGGGGGAAATTAGGTAAGGGCGGTACTGTTTCAGAAGCAATTTGAAATATAAGTGGAGTTAAGTCAGAGGAAAGAGCGTACCTTAGCCGGAGTAGTCCAAGCGTTCATGCCAGGTGAAGGAAACAGGTGCTACACTCTTGCTCCTTGCCTTTTCCTCTCTGCTGCCACAGCAACCAGTCCCTCCAAGCCACTGGCAAAGAGGAGCAGAGCATCGCCTCCTGTCATCTGAAAGCAAGGAGGGGGGGAGAGGGAGGGCAGCCGCCCAGATGGGTCTGTTTCCTTCCCCTGGATTGGTCCAGCGGGAGAAAGATGTTGAGCGGTTGCTAGGCGACGTTGCTAAGATGCAGTGACGCTGCCCCTTGACTCATGCATCTCATTCCCCCTCCCTCTGCGCCTTACTGAGAAATAGGGAAGGAGGGATGGAAGGTGTTGGAAAAGAGGAGCGGGTTGGGAAAAGGAGGCAGAAAGGAGGAGGGATGGAATCTGGCACAAGAGGCCATCGGTTTTCTCCAAAGGACTGTCACTCCTAGAATCCCCAAATCTGGAGGGTGTAGAGGAAAGTTGTTTGGTAACAATAACAGCAGTACATTGTTGAAGGCTTTCATGGCTGGAATCACTGGGTTGCAGGGCACGTAGCCAGGATTTTGTTTTGGGGAAAGTTTGATTCGGGGGGGGGGGGAGTCTGAGTGAAAGAGGGTCTACCCTAGCAAACCTTTTGTATCGTTACCCCAATACCCCCATGCATATGGGATATATTGCGCATGGTGATCAGATCACGATATGAATAAACATAACAGTTTAAATAATGTACCAGTAAGGCCTTCTTGTGAACCACCATGAGAATGTGGGGGGGGGGCTGAAGCCCCCCAAGCTTCCCCCCCCCCCCCGGCTACATGCCTGCTGGGTTGTTGTAGGTTTTTCAGGCTATAGGGCCATGTTCTAGAAGCATTTCTCCTGACGTTTTGCCTGCATCTCTGGCAAGCATCCTCAGAGGTAGAACAGAAGCTGCTGAAGCTTGAGGTGCTCTTACTGCTTATTACAGGGAAAACCAGCTGATCTAATCCATCTAAAACACAGACATGCGCCTTTCACCTTAAGAATAGACAAGCATCCCAAGTTCTGGGGATTACCTGGGAAGGAATCCCACTGGAGCATTGCAGCGCACCCAAATACCTGGGAGTCACTCTGGACCGTGCTCTGACCTACAAGAAGCACTGCCTGAACATCAAGCAAAAAGTGGGTGCTAGAAACAATATCATACGAAAGCTGACAGGCACAACCTGGGGATCACAACCAGACACAGTGAAGACATCTGCCCTTGCGCTATGCTACTCTGCTGCTGAGTATGCATGCCCAGTGTGGAACACATCACCACACTAAAACAGTGGATGTGGCTCTTAATGAGACATGCCACATTATCCCGGTGTGACTGCGCCCTACACCACTGGAGAAATTACACTGCTTAGCCGGTATTGCACCACCTGACATCGCCGGGAAGTAGCAGCCAATAGTGAAAGGACCAAGGCAGTGACATCTCCAGCTCATCCCTTGTTTGGGTATCAGCCAGCACGTCAACGACTTAAATCAAGAAATAGTTTTCTAAGATCTACAGAGACACTCGCTGGAACCCCTCAGCAAGCGAGAGTCCAAAAGTGGCAGGCTCAAACCCAGAACCTCAACCATTGGCTGATACCAAATGAGAGACTCCCCCCTGGGCACACAGAAGACTGGGCGACTTGGAAGGCGCTGAACAGACTGCTCTGGCACCACAAGATGCAGAGCCAACCTTCAGAAATGGGGCTACAAAGTGGAATCCTCGACATGCGAGTGTGGAGAAGAGCAAACCACTGACCACCTGCTGCAATGCAACCTGAGCCCTGCCACATGCACAATGGAGGACCTTCTTGCAGCAACACCGGAAGCACTCCAAGTGGCCAGATACTGGTCAAAGGACATTTAATCAACTACCAAACTCACAATTTTTGTATTTTGTCTGTTTGTTTGCTTTGTTCTGTTAGAAATGTAATATAATTTGACTGGTTGTCCTGACACGACAAATAAATAAAATCCTCAGAGGTTGTGAGGTCCTGATGGAAACTAGGAAAATTGGGTTTATATATCTGTGGAAACTCCAGGGTGGGAGAAAGAACTCTTATCTGTTGGAGCTAGGTGTGAATGTTTCAGTTGGCCACCTTGATTAGCATTTGATGGCCTGACAGTTTTTAGGTGTGACTTGTTAGTGCCTGAGGGAATCCTTTGTTGAGAGGTGATTAGCTCTTGTATCCATTCACTTTCCGCTGTTGGCTAATGGCTTCTTTTCCTCAACTGGAGTTAACCATGCTGCAAAAAGAGTAAGATGCAATGCAACTAAGCTGTTGGTGGCTTGGCATCTTCCACGTTTTTGTTTCAATTTTCTGCTTATCGGGGAGGTGCTCAGTTACCATGACAATAAGACCCACAGAAGTACTAATAGAGTACTCAGAGCGGATGAACTCCTGTGTAGCAATACCTTCCATGCCAACACCCAATAATTCTCAGCCTTGGTGGGGGAGAAAGAAAAGACGTTTCCCTTCTGAGTACAATTGATCTTTCAAGACCTGCCCAAGTCTACAACTCCCCTTTGCTGCAACTCCAGCATTTTAAATTGCACACAGAAGTGACATTATCTTTTGTTATGTTAATCTAACAGTTAAGGACTAAAATTATTCTCCAAAAAAATGGAGCTGACTGCAACTAACTCAGACTTTGTAACAAGTTACTTTCAAGTTCTGCGGTACTCTGCCAAACTGGGGAAATGACTTTCCCTTTAACACTGGAGTGAGAATTGAGTAATCCCCCAATGGTTTTGGGTCGCAATACCCATCACTCCTTGCCACTGGGATACTGAAATTTGATGTGCGGAGGGCTGTTCAATTCCCACCCTCGATTTTACCAATCCAGAAGTGGATTACTTATCAGTAAATCCACTTGGGATTGGAAGTTACAAACCTTCAACTGCTCTCCAAAAGCAGAAGTTTCATCTACACTGTAGAATTAAAGGCTTCCCTTGACATTAAGTCTAGTTGTGTCCAACTCTGGGGGATAGTGTTCATCTCCATTTCTGAGTCAAAGAGCCGGCGTTGTCCATAGACACCTCCTAGACTATGTGGCCGGCATGACTGCATGGAGTGCTGTTACCTTTCCACGGGAGCAGTACCTTTTTTTTTTTTGTCATGTCAGGAGCAACCTGAGAAACTGCAAGTCGCTTCTGGTGTGAGAGAATTGGCCATCTGCAAGGACATTGCCCAGGGGATGCCCGGATGATTTTTGATGTTTTATCATCCTTGTGGGAGGCTTCTCTCATGTCCCCACATGAGGAGCTGGAGCTGATAGAGGGAGCTCATCCTCTCCCCAGATTCGAACCTGCGACCTGTCAGTCTTCATTCCTGCTGGCACAGGGGTTTAAGTACCTATTGATCTACTTACATTTGCATATTTTTGAACTGCTAGGTTGGCAGAAGCTGTGGCTAACAGCAGGAGCTCACCCCGTTCCATGGATTAGAACTGCTGACTTTTTGGTCAGCAAGTTCAGCAGTTTAGCCTGCTCTGCCACCAGGGGCTTAATTAAAGTTTGGCATAATTTTAACTGTCGTGGCTCATTGCTATGAATTCCTGGGATGTGGCGTTTGCTGAAGCATCTGTATTCTTTGGAAGAGAAGGCTAAACATCTTGTAAAACTACAACTCCCATGATTCCATAGCATTCAGCCACGGCAGTTAAAGTGGTGTCAAAATGCATTTATTCTACAGTGCAGATGCACCCAGAGACTGGGAAAGAAGAACGGTGTTCACACATTATAATGAATGGCGTACCTAACTCCTGTTGTTAGTCCTTCTTAAAGTAGACCCATTTGTTGTTGTTGTTCATTCGTTCATTCGTCTCCGACTCTTTGTGACCTCATGGACCAGCCCACGCCAGAGCTCCCTGTCGGCCGTCACCACCCTCAGCTCCTTCAAGGTCAGTCCAGTCACTTCAAGGATACCATCCATCCATCTTGCCCTTGGTCGGTCCCTCTTCCTTTTTCCTTCCACTTTCCCCAGCATAATTGTCTTCTCTAGGCTTTGCTGTCTCCTCATGATGTGGCCAAAGTACTTCAACGTTGTCTCTAGTATCCTTCCCTCCAATGAGCAGTCGGGCTTTATTTCCTGGAGGATGAACTGGTTGGATCTTCTCGCAATCCAAGGCACTCTCAGAACTTTCCTCCAACACCACAGTTCAAAAGCATCTCTCTTCCTTCACTCAGCCTTGCCTAAGGTCTAGCACTCACATCCGTAGGTTTCTACAGGAAATTCCATCTGCTTTGACTATGCAGATCTTTGTTAGACCCATTTAGTCAATAGAATTTAATTATGTGTTCACTCACGATTCAACTATTGATTAAATAGATTTACTTTAGTTTGGGACTAAGCAAAAAGATAACAACCAATGTGAGTACATGGTTCACATGACTGTGGAAATCTCTTCCTGCATCCATTCCCAAGTACAAGAATCATGTTAGACTCAATTAAAGGACCTACATGGTTTCACTGCCTGACAGATCACTGGTCAAAGGCTCTGTAGCCCCGGTTCCTGAGTCCTGGGCACATCATATCCACCCAACCTTATTTCAGCTCCTCCAGGAAACTGTGTTTCGCAAGGGGATGTTAAGTCTGAATAATGAGAGGAAAAGCTATTTGGCTGAGCACAAGAGCCATGTCATTTGGCTTAAAGGCTTGAACAATTTAGTCTTGGCTGAGAGACAAGCAGGAATGTCACCTTGGTTTCTTTTTAAAGAGAAACAGCTTGAAGGGCAGGTAGAAGCGGTGACGTGATTTCAACTTTGGGGGCTACAGGGAAAGCGAGGAAACATAGGCAGCCTCTGAAAGATGTTTTATCCTTCAAAGCCATTTGGGGGGATTATACTCCACTGAACTGAGTGGGGATTGCTTTTGAGAAGGGGTAGGTGACTGTGGAAGGACCCCATGAGTCTCACTCCCACACACAACAATCAAACTTTTGCCCCAAAACATGTGATGGTGTGTGTGGGGAACATTTCGAGTTTTCCACCATATTTTGGGGACTCCCCTGGATATTTTTGACCCAAGAGAAGCTTTTTTTAGCAACAGAAAATGAAGCTATTGGATTTACACTGGACCATGAGGTGCAAATACTGTATAAGAATCAAACCAAACAAACTAAGGTT